AACTCTTGCACTACATTTTCTTTTAGTGAATCATACTCGTTTCTTGTTGCGTCTCTTTTTCACTTCTTCCTTTTCCTCTCTCTTGCCCATTATCTCTTCACCTTGTTAACAAAATTTTGGCCAAATTTGGAGGGCCATATTTGGCCCTTTAGCCCTCCAACCGGGCCACATGTAGCCCAGCTTTGGCTTAGGCCAAATTATTTGTGAGCCCCATGCATGTGCTTTTGAAAAGGATAAATTATCAAGTGTGGGCAAAAGCACGAATCATCTCGTGCAAATACATATCCAATAACCAACATTAAAAATGCTGACATCATCGATGATGTCAGCTAGATATATATATATATATATATATATATATAAGCCTATTTAAATGTTTTCAATTTGTGTTATTTAAGAAAAAATATATATAAAAAATTACTGGTCATCACTGTTGGAGCCTGAAAAATTATGTTTTCAATGTTTTAAAAGTTTTAAATTCATGTTTTCACACATACTTTTCAAATGTTTTAAATGTTTCAATTCGTGTTATGTAAGAAAAAAAATTATAAAAAATTCAACACATGTCACTCAAAAATCATAGCTCGAAAAATTATTAAGATTCATTCAGGATAAGACATGCCACGTGAACACAAAACCTTATCAGAAATCTTGTCATATATGGAATATTGTCTCTAAATAGTAGTTAAATTAAATTAAATAATACATAGTTGTGGAATGTATGAGTGTTGTACCATAGTTTTTCTCAAAATAATAAAATAAGAATGACCCTAAAATATAGCCATACATGGCTGGAGATGGAAAATTTTAGCCATGCACTATTCTTTAAAAAATTAATATTTTGGAAGGCTAAGTTTTTAGCCCTGGACTACATTTAGCCTTATGACTGAGATGGCCTAACCCTCTATTTTGATGAAGCAATTGAAAATTGCAAATAATTTTTAAATGACAGAATTTAGATCTCCATCGTTCAAATTTCTTGTAATTAATAATTTCAATATTTTGATTTATGTATGTCAAATTTTGTAAATAGCAAAAATCACAATGAGAAAGAATTCATGCTTAATGGAAATTGTGAAATGACGATTCTTTTGTTGAAAATTAAACTCGGGAATCCCGATCCCTAATTTCAATGGCCACTTAATTTCAACAGTAATTTAGGGAAAGTTGTTCCCTAGTCTTTGGGCTACTTGGCTTGCCCACGATGCAATTGAGGGGGGTTATATTACCAGAATTCGAAGGCACATGGACAGACTATCTATATCTGAAATAATATCAACTTCTTCTCAACTTGCTTTCATTTCGGGGTTTCTAGTTGACAACTCATGTTGAAACTCTTTATTTTGCCATGCTTTCTTCCTTAGATGGTATGACTTCCAATTGATGTCTAAATCAAACTGTGATGATTTAAATACTAGTGCATTCCTGATTAAGTTCGTCCAAAATGGAGATATTTTCAAAAAAGAATCAATCAGAGCCAGTTCTCTACTTGGCTTGAAAATGAGTTAAGATTTCATAACGCGCAAGACTTCTATTCCAGTTTTATCTGAATCAATTACCTCTTTCTATTGGGCATAACAATACCAATAGCGGCAAAGTTGTGCAAACCATCATGCAAAATATACACCAGCCCACTAAAGGGCTTTGAATATTTAAAATCATTCATGTAGTTTAAAGTAGAATATCGTTTGTATCAAAAACAATAAATAAAAACAAAGCCATACTTTTTGGGGTGAACAAATACAATACTAAATCAACTCTAACCAGAGCTGCTGCCTGTTGGGCATTCTAATATTATGTATAATGCTCACACTACCTCAAGATCTCGTAAGATGCAGATAGTATACTTTAAAAATTATAACCTGTCTTCTTCATCAACCCAAGTACTCAGTGAAAATCATACTAGTATACAATTTGGATAAGACTCTACAAGGCACAAAGTCTGTATTAACAAACACAAATTTTATTTACCACAGATTTCCTAAACAAGGCTCAAACACCTGACAAGATGAAACCATGGAACACAAATTGGTAGCATAGATTTCCTAAAACAGTTAACCACTCCGTAAATTGTTGCATGAAATGTCATTCATCTTTAAAAGAGGGGACGGGGAAGAGAGAAATCTAAGGCACAAAAGACAACAAAGAAAACATAGTGACTCAAATGACAGTGACGAAGGGGTAGCACAAGAGGGACATATTATGAGAAGTACTTCAATTTCCCTGAAGAACCGTCAGGAAACAGAAACATATCAAGATTATAGCACCAACTAATAACATATATAGAGAACTTTTTTCAAAAGAAAATGACATCTGTAAATTTTCAGAACATGTGAAACAATACAATACTTAATAAAATTTTCCCCAGACTATTGAAGAGAACTGACCATTTATGATCCACTACTAATGTAACAATTAGCTAGTAGAGAACTAAATACTACAACTCAATTACTAATCCGTTTCTGTTCGGATTGTATATACGTACTCACACAATTACCTCAAGATCTCATGTAGTGCACATAATCCTATGAAAATTATATTAGTATGGGGTAAGGTAAGTGCAGAAAACAGAAAACAGAAAATTCTCCAATTCACAATGTCTGATTTGGACTTACAAGGTTTGACATTGGCCAACCATATGCAACAAGATTTTGACCAAAACCAAAAAGAAGAACAGGATTAAATTGAGTGTCCATTATGGGACACTCGATTCTCAATTACGCAATGGAATAGGTAAATCTATTATCTTTGTTTCTTTCCTTATGAGGTCCATTTATCCCCATATTTTCTGCCAATATGTCAATTTTTTTATTTTAATGCGAGCAATATTGAAATCATGCAAAAACAAAAAATTGAAAAAGAAAACCTTGGAGTTCAAACATCTTTGCACCTGAAAATAAGGTTCACCATCATACAAGATAAAACAAGCAATGAAGAATTGGGACCAAAGATTTCTTCAGGAGTATATTTCAGGAAAACGCGAACATTTGGATGGTAACCTTAATATATTGTTTTCTTAAAATATATATTGTTCAAACATCTCAGTACCCGAATAAATCTCCAACATCTCAGTACACGAAAATAAACTCAAACATCTCAGTACCCGAAAATATGGCTCAAACATCTTAGTACCCGAAAATAAAGCTCAAGCATCAAACAAGATAAACAAGCAATGAAGAATTGGAACCAAAGATGAGTTTAAACAAATTTTTAAACGATCTTATACATAATACTAGTGAAAACAAACCAAGGTCGCAAACTAACCCAACAACGAGGAAAGAGAGCAAGATATGTTTAGGCACAAAAGATATAGTAAAAACAAAAGAAGATAGAGTAAACATGATACCCATCAGAAAATCAAAACACAAAGACAATATCATGCCCAATTAGAAGACTTACAATGATAATCAGAAAATCAGAACCCAAAGAGTTGACAGCAGCAGTTAAGAAAAGAAAATTCTATTAAAAGTTAAAGAAAAAGAAGCTCTTAAAATGCCTGACTTGCTTCAATCACCTGAAAAAGGGCCCAGGACATATACTGACCATAATTGAATCAAAATCAATTAACACGATGCTAAAATCAGAACAATCTACACGCAACCCAAAAGTCCATACATTTTAAAAAATAAGGTTAATGTACAAGTTTTTAAACTGTAGAAGGGTAAACCAAGTAAAATTTATGGTGGGCCAAGCCAACCTTAGTTATTCTACTCTGATACACATAACAGTTAGAAACTATAGAGCAGGGATAGTATAAATCAGTAACAGAAACTGCGTCAGCTCCCCATTAGAAACTCTGCCCCACTGCAGGCTTAGGCACATCAGAAAGTACATGGTTTGTGTGTGTGTGTGTGTGTGTGTGTGTGTGTGAATGATGAGAACCAAGGATCCTGTTTAACATGTCCAAATAAAAATGGTTTCCTATTTTTGTTGTTTGGATTGCCAAATCACATACCAAATGGATGCTTGGTAATAAACCAAAATGAAGCTATTGATCTGCAAAACAGATAAATAAGTTTAAACAAACAAACAAAGGCATAGTCACCCAAAGACTTGATCTTTGGGTTCAAATACTAAAACAATTTATTCAACATTTTAAGATGATATAACTTGGAGTAAATATCATCCAATTTGTTTCTTTCTTAGAAGATCTGCATTAGAAGGTCAGAGCGTTTTCAGTCAAAAGAAAAAGGAATTTCACAGAAAGTTGAAATAGAAGTTACTCAAAGAAAGCATTTTCTTCACCTAACTGCTTCTAACCCTTCAACTCCTCTGCCAAAAGAATCCCCTGAGAAAACAAAAGAAGAACAAAGATCCAAGCCTAATCTGGACACAACTCTTAATAAATGAATTAATGAGAAAAGCAGAGATGAAGAGGAGAGCACCGAAAAACTGCAAGCAACTAAAATGAACTGCTGATTATGAATATAACAAAGCTTCTTGAAGCAGACCCATCTAAGCTTATAATCTGCAGTGGAAAAGAGAATGAGAAGAATGCCCAAGCATCCATCCCAGTACTCTTACATGGAAAAAAAAAATGCATGATTCAGAATTCTGTAACAGAAATTGACACAATAAATCTAACACAAATAACATGTTATCTAAAACTCAAACAAATTAATACAACACTCGAAAAGCAAAAATACCACTCGACATTCAAAATGTCATCTATGAATGGCACATAACTTGTCCCTCTCAATGTCAGTACACAATCCAAAACTGGAAGCACCGTGTTATTTGGAGTGTAACACCAAAAAAGTGGCCTGAAAATGGAGTCTCACTCCGTGGTCATGATATCCAGCTTCTTTCCAGTCGGATTCTTTGTGTAAAGGACAATTTGTTGGAAAAATGAGTGCTAAATTGCTATAAAATAAATAAAATAAATACTGCACATAAAACAGATTTTTACAAAAGGAGAATTGAATTAGAAGAACCTTAATTAAGTCGAGGCAAGTGTTGGACACTCTGACCTTAAGACGAATTACGCCCCACACTGGTGCTTATGGTTCACTAGCGTTCGCCTCCCAGGATACAACGACTCCCCTCCTTATGAAAGAAGCACTACAATTCACAAGGAACTTTGAACCAAAATTATGCAGGAACCTCTCTTTATGAAACTCTAATGCTCTATATGTTTGAAAGTATGTATGTAGAGAATTGATTGAATAATTAAAACTGCAGGAGGATTGGTCTATTTATAGATGATGAAATACCCTTTCCAAAAAGGTATCCCAATCTGAAAAGGCAAACAATACATCCCTTGGTCTGAAGAGTTATCACCCCAAACAATGCATCCCTTAGTTTGAAGAGTTGTTACTCCCCATGTGAAGGTGTCTTTAACCCAAGGGTCATGTCTTTAACCCAATGGATTTTATTAATTTCCATTCAAATAGGAAAATCAATTTTAGTTAATATTAAATTTTCCAGCACAATTGCCATTTTCTGAATAAGCACTTGATGTAATCAGAGAAATCCAACTCAAAGGTTGCAAAGATACATGACCAATGATGTGCGATAACTGGTATAAAACTATGAATAGCACACAATAAACAACAGAAAGAAGAAACCCTGATACAATTAACATGACTATTGCAAATTCAAAAAGAAATAAATGACCAAAACTCTGCTGCACAATTCTCTCCACTGGCGTAGAGGCTTCTTGAAAAGAAAAAAAACGAAGCAAGTACAAGTCCTGGCGAAGATCTGTCATCAAACCTCCAATGAAGCAACTCGTGAGAAACTCACCACCACCATTGTCTCGAATGCCCATATGGTAGCCAAGATCAAAATCAAGAAGTGCAGTACCACCATTGCATACCCAACATGAGTGTGACATTTCAGCAAACAAATGGAGAGCATGTGGTGATATGCCAGATGTATCAACCCCAAAACCCAATTGCTTCCAAGCTTCTTGATAAAGATTCTTCAAAGACAAAAACCGAGTATTCTTCTGAATTGAACCGATGGAAAAAGAAGACAACTAAGCAGGCAAACCTTGCGTGGATGGTGATTCCGGAATCGGCGACGTCCGTTGACTGTTGCATCTCGGCGTCTGCAGAGGTGAGACGCCCAGATTCTGATTTGCGGACATAGATGAGGATTGAATTTCCAAGAGAGAGAGAGAGATCGATCGCAGAGATAAGCAGCTCCAGTGCACGCCAGGGCTTCCGCGCGTTCGTTGAAGCTTTTCACTTGTTTTCTCAGTCAACTCGAGGTACTCTCGGTATTTGGAACCTTGCGGCTTCTAATTGTTTGGACAAAGCCTTCTGTTGATTATCTAATTCTATAAAATTATTTTCCAAATTTAATACGCTTGTTTCGAAGCTCTCTGATAGTAATCTTAACTTTATTTCAACCTCAGTTAATTGACTCTTTAAACTATCTACATTGGTATTTAGAGGTTCTAATTTTTCAAGACTACGTTCTATCCTATATAGAGATCCTTCTATTTTTCTATCTAATCCTTTTACTGATAAATTCTTTTTCTTTGATACTTTAACTCCACTAAGTATTTTCTTTTTCTTACGTCCGATATTTTCTCCTAAATTTATTACCAGATATATAATTATAAAGACTGTAATAATGCATAAACCTTGAATAATGAGTACAAAAAGTGCAAAAAGTACCCAATTCATCATATTAGTCTATTTCTATCCTATACTTATGGCTACGACCTCCTCCGGACGTCTAAACCCTAAACCCTAAATCCTAAACCCTTAGAACAACTAACAAAGAAAACTACTTCTTATTTAATTTAAACATAGCAAGTTCCTTTCCCTCTCGGGAGTCCCTGAAGAACTTGAAGACGCTGTGGAGGACTCTTCACACACCCAAGGCTCTCCTACTCAGACTTTTGTGGTGCTCAGTGTTCACTATCACTTGAAGAAAACACTCACTCACTCTTTCACTGAAAAACCTCAACTAGCTTGACTGTAAAGGAAGTTCACCCACTCTGACTGCTAAACACACTCTGCTTGCTTACAAACTGAAAACTAGACTCTATTTAAAGACTTTCAAGAAAGGTTCTTTTCTAAAAGAAAGATTCTTAACTTAAATACATCACTCAAAATTAAAGCAGGAAAACACACTGACTCAGCTGGGGACCTCAGCTTTTTCTTTATATAAACAAGGATTCTTCTTTATCAAAGGAGTAGCTTCCTTCTCCTTGTTGTCTAATTGTTTGGACAAAGCCTTCTGCTGCGTGTAGATATGCTTCCATATGCATGCTACTGTATCTCTCATATCATTGAGCTACTCCTTTTAACTATTCTTCTCATTTCTCTCTTCTTCACATCATCCTCTTTTTCTCTTCTTCCAAACCACAAACATTTTATTAAAACTGAACTGAACTGGATCTTGTGTCAGTTTGGGCTTTGGTTCCAAATCAAGGGATAAACCGAACCTTGACCACCCCGAGTCAAAACAAAACAACTTAAAAAGATTAAAACTCTTAAAAAACAATTACACACAATTAAAATATTGAAAAACTCCTTACAGTTATACAAGTGCCATTAAGCATGTCGTATTTTGTAGGTTGGGATGAGGGCTTATAAGGACCCTAACTCTCTGTTTTGATGAAGTAATTGAAATTTGCAAAGAATTTTTAAATGACGGAATTTAAATCTCCACCTCTTAAGTTTCTTGCAATTAATAATTTCAATATTTGGATTTATGTATGTCAAATTTTGTAAATAACAAAAATCACAATGAGAAAGAATTCATACTTAGGATTTATGTATGTGAAATTACGATTCTTTTGGAGAAAATTAAACTCGGGAATCCCAATCCCCAATTTCCAAGGCTGCTTAATTTCAGCAGTAGTCTAGGGAAAGTTGTTCCCTAGCCTTTGGGCTACTTGGCTTGCCGTCCACGATGCAATTGAGAGGGTTATATTACCAGAATTCGAAGGCACATGGACAGACTATCTATCTCTGAAATAATATCAACTTCTTCTCAACTTGCTTTCATTTCGGGGTTTCTACTTGACAACTCATGTTGAAACTCTTTATTTTGCCATGCTTTCTTCCTTAGCTGGTATGATTTCAAATTGATGTCTAAATGAAACTGTGATGATTTAACTACTAGTGCATTCCTGATGTTTGTCCAAAATGGAGATATTTTAAAAAAAGAATCAATCACGGCCAGTTCTCTATTTAGAGTGCAATGGCTTGAAAATGGGTTGAGATTTCATAACGCGTAAGACTTCCATTCGAGTTTTAGCTGAATTACCTCTTTCTATTGGGCTTAAGACCATCTCCAACCACGTTGGGGCTAAACTCAAATTTTCACCCTCCAAAATACAACTATTCATGTATTTTCAGGACTCAAATTTTTTTTTCCTCCAACCTTGCAGACTCATAATTTGAGTCCGCAACTTTACTAAATTGTTTAAGAATGATTAACCCCTAAATTTTGTTTCTTGTTAATTTTTCTTGACATTATTTTTGTTTCAACACTTGTGATTTAATTTTCTAAACATTTTAACCTAAAAAAATTAAAATTCCAAAACATAATTGAATTTCACTTAAAAAATAAAAATAAATACAATACCATACGTATGCCGGGAATAATTCGAACTCTTCATTGAATTATGTAAGTGTGTTTAAATTATCTAAACATTTTTAAATAAATGACAATCATTAAATTTTGCCGTTGAGATTGCTTAAGATTAATCATGATTATTGATTACAAATATAATTGTTGGAATATTTAAAATTTAAAAAAAAACAAAACAAAAAAAAACAAACAAACCAGCAACATCAGATTTTTCGCACAAAGTTGCTGCCCAAAAAGAATAACCAAAACTGGGCCCAGCAAACATTGTGCAGCACGTGGGCTTCAGTCAAAAAAATAATAAAAAAAGCAGATTTTGGGCCCACAAAATTATCAATCCATGCAAAAAGGGACTGGAATTCCACCCAAGATTTGAGATTTCTCAAATTTTCACCCTCCAAAATACATGGGTTGGAGATGGTTTTTGAAGGCTAAACTCAAAATTTGAGTTTCCACCCCAAGGGTTGGAGATGGTCTAACAATACTAATAGCGGCAAAGTTGTGCAAACCATCATGCAAAATATACACCATCCCAGTAAAGGGCTTTAAATATTTAAAATCATTCATGCAGTTTAGATTAAATTAAAGTAGAATATTGTTTGTATAAAAAACAATAAATAAATACAAAGCCATACTTTTGGGGGTGAACAAATACAATACTAAATCAACTCTAACCAGAGCTGCTGCCTGTTGGGCATTCTAATCTTATATATAATGCTCACATTACCTCAAAATCTCATAAGATGCAGATAGTATACTTCAAAAATTATAACCCGTCTTCTTCATCAACCCAAGTTCTCAGTGAAAATCATACTAGTATACAATTTGGATAAGACTCTACAAGGCACAAAGTCTGTATTAACAAACACAAATTTTATTTACCACAGATTTCCTAAACAAGCCTCAAACACCTGACAAGATGAAACCATGGAACACAAATTGGTAGCATAGATTTCCTAAAACAGTTAACCACTCCGTAAATTGTTGCATGAAATGTCATTCATCTTTAAAAGAGGGGAGGGGGAAGAGAGAAATCTAAGGCACAAAAGACAACAAAGAAAACATAGTGACTCAAATGACAGTGACGAAGGGGTAGCACAAGAGGGACATATTATGAGAAATACTTCAATTTCCCTGAAGAACCGTCAGGAAACAGAAACATATCAAGATTATAGCACTAACTAATAACATATATAGAGAACTTTTTTCAAAAGAAAATACTTAATAAAATTGAATCTTATATTCCCCAGACTATTGAAGAGAACTGACCATTTATGATCCACTACTAATGTAACAATTAGCTAGTAGAGAACTAAATACTACAACTCAATTACTAATCCGTTTCTGTTCGGATTGTATATACGTACTCACACAATTACCTCAAGATCTCATGTAGTGCACATAATCCTATGAAAATTATATTAGTATGGGGTAAGGTAAGTGCAGAAAACAGAAAACAGAAAATTCTCCAATTCACAATGTCTGATTTGGACTTACAAGGTTTGACATTGGCCAACCGTATGCAACAAGATTTTGACCAAAACCAAAAAGAAGAACAGGATTAAATTGAGTGTCCATTATGGGACACTCGATTCTCAATTAGGCAATGGAATAGGTAAATCTATTATCTTTGTTTCTTTCCTTATTAGGTCCATTTATCCCCATATTTTTTGCCAATATGTCAATTTTTTTTATTTTAATGCGAGCAATATTGAAATCATGCAAAAACAAAAAATTGAAAAAGAAAACCTTGGAGTTCAAACATCTTTGCACCTGAAAATAAGGTTCACCATCATACAAGATAAAACAAGCAATGAAGAATTGGGACCAAAGATTTCTTCAGGAGTATATTTCACGAAAACGCGAACATTTGGATGGTAACCTTAATATATTGTTTTCTTAAAATATATATTGTTCAAACATCTCAGTACCCGAATAAATCTCCAACATCTCAGTACGCGAAAATAAAGCTCAAACATCTCAGTACCCGAAAATAAGGCTCAAACATCTTAGTACCCGAAAATAAAGCTCAAGCATCAAACAAGATAAACAAGCAATGAAGAATTGGAACCAAAGATGAGTTTAAACAAATTTTTAAACGATATTATACATAATACTAGTGAAAACAAACCTAGGTCGCAAACTAACCCAACAACGAGGAAAGAGAGCAAGATATGTTTAGGCACAAAATATATAGTAAAAACAAAAGAAGATAGAGTAAACACGATACCCATCGGAAAATCAAAACACAAAGACAATATCATGCTCAATTAGAAGACTTACAATGACAATCAGAAAATCAGAACCCAAAGAGTTGACAGCAGTAGTTAAGAAAAGAAAATTCTATTAAAAGTTAAAGAAAAAGAGCTCTTAAAATGCCTGACTTGCTTCTATCACCTGAAAAAGGGCCCAGGACATCTACTGACCATAATTGAATCAAAATCAATTAACACAACGCCAAAATCAGAACAATCTACACACAACCCAAAAATCCATACATTTTAAAAAATAAGCTTAATGTACAAGTTTTTAAAGTGTTGAAGGGTAAACTAAGTCAAATTTATGGTGTGCACAAGCCAACCTTAGTTATTCTACTCTGATACACACAACAGTTAGAAACTATAGAGCAGGGATAGTATAATTAGAGATCAAACAGTAACAGAAACTGCGTCTGCTCCCCATTAGAAACTCTGCCCCACTGCAGGCTTAGGCACATCAGAAAGTACATGTTTTTTTTTTTTTTTTTTTTTTTTTTGAATGATGAAACAAGGATCCTGTTTAACATGTCCAAATAAAATGGTTTCCTATTTTTATTGTTTGGAGTGCCCTCATCAGCTCTGGCAATTGTTTAAAACGTGGAACTTCTAAGGTTTCAGTTTATTTGATTTTCAATCATTGATGATAACAAAAGAAAATTTGAGTGGACTTAAATTGTGCTCATGTACATTGACAGAAAACATTTGAAAAGGTGAAATATTACAATACCAAATGAACTCTAACCAAAGCTGTGTACAATTTTATTTACCAGAAAAGGCTGCTTATATAAAAAAAATTCACTGCTGCTTGCTGGGCATTCTAATCTATATATAATGCTCAAACTACCTCAAGATCTCATAAGATGCAGATAGTATACTTTAAAACTCACTTACAACCTTTCTTCTTCATCAACCCCAGTTCTCAGTGAAAATCATACTAGTATGAAACAACCTAAATTTTATTTACCATAGATTTCCTAAACAAGGCTCAAAACATCTGATAAGACGAAACCAAAGAACACAAATTGGTAGCATAGATTTCTTAAACAGTAGCAGCTCTGTAAATTGTTGCATGAAATGTAATTAATCTTTAAAACATAACCATAGTGATGGCAACATAAATGAGACCCCAGAAAAAGAAACAAAAAAGGAGGGAGAAATCTACGCCACAAAAGAAAAAACGAAGAAAACACTGATTGGGTTATTTCAAAAATATAGAGGAGAAATGAAGATGGTGTACCTGATTATCAGAGTCACTGAAGCAAATGCCACTGCAGGGTTTAAAAGAAGGGGACAGACTCCATAGTTTTCCTTCATATTATGGCATTATTGACGTGAAGAGACAGTACAAGAGGGAAAAAAAATTGGGGGGACCTGACCAGCCAACAACCTTTGCAACAGAACATCTCTGACAAGAAATCCTTATTAAATCATGCAGAAACATTCTTTTACAAGGAATAATTTGTTGCTCAAGATGCTAAATATTCTGGCTTGCATCATTATCATTCTTTATTAAACCAAAAAGAAGAAAGAAAAACCAGCACAATGATAAACTCAGAAAGCAATGTACTCGGAAAAAGAAAAATAAACTTTATGAACAAAGCACATACTTTGCTAATGTATCCAAGATATCTGGATGTCTAGGATTGCATCAGGCAGAGACAACCATATCCACATTGGAAATCTCATCTATAACAAATTAGAAAGTAAAACTTAAAAGAGATTCCCTAATAATAGCAAGATTCTAAGTTATCTATAACAAAATGGAAAATCCTGTTGAGGTGGCTCTCAATGAAAGCATCAATTTGTGGGATGTGAATTCCACACACACTTTGAGATGTCTCAATTAAAAGAATGCAACTGAGTCCTTTGCACACCAACCTTCTCAACCGTTCCTATCGATCTTAAAATGTGAATCTAAGCCAATAGCTCCTTTGTATCTACACGTGACGATCTTTACCACATTATAAAAGTACTAACTTATCAGCCCATGGTCTATAGCCAAGAAATTTAACTTATTGTCACCTCCCATATACGTGCTCAAAGATCTCATCGTCTTTGAGTGGCATATATAGATCCCTCTAAGCCAAGTAGGAAGTATTTGAAACAAAAAAACAAAAATGGATTATAGCATCCAAGACATCACTATAGAAGCTATTACAAAAAGATCATTGCACAGACCTTTTTATGGCACTTTTAGAAATGATTGTGATACATTATGTTAATGAAAGCAGCAGTTTCTTAAGAACAATGTTAGCTAAGCATAAAGCAAAGATAACGAATCATTTATTGTATGTAAGGTCACAAGAAAACCTATTAGAACAATCAATAATGGAATTTTCACACTCCATTTTCCTTTTCAAGTTAACAAAAACAAATATTATCTATAATATAAAATCTTTAGCAATTTTACCTGAAATAGCCATGATATAACACTTATTGAAGAGATGATGAAGGCCACACAACTCCAACAGCAATGCAAACTGCAAACTGTACCAGCCACCAAGCCTAAAGAAATTGAAAGAAAACACCATTATAAGGAGCAATCCCAAGCTTCTATACTAGCCCAAACGAAATTTGGATAAGTGCAGGGAATAGCAAACTGAAAACTCTACAGGGCACAAAGTGTGTATTAACAAACACAAATTTTATTTACCAAGTTTTCCTAAACAAGGCATAAACACCTGACAAGATGAAACCAACAAACACAAACTGGTAGCATAGATTTCCTAAACAGTAGTAGCTCTGTAAATTGTTGCATGAAATGTCATTCATCTTTAAAGCATAAATTTAGAGTTGAAACGGAGATAGGGTACCTGATTATCAGGGTTACTGAAGCAAATGCCAAGGGGTTAGACGAGTGGGGCACACACTCCATAGCAACAACCTTCGCAACTGAACAGCTTATACAAGAAATCATTTTATTTGTACAGATGCGAAACACTTATTCATCATTTCATTCTTTTAATAAATCAAAGCAGACTTAAAGATGCAGAAACCTGATTAGCTGGAGTTTGGAATTTCTCTATGGTTTATGTTCATAGGGAAAGAAAGGCTGCTGCCGATGCACCTGCGAAGATGGGAGATTGTCTCCAAGTTCTTGATGAGCTTCAGTGTAATTTGATTTCAGTTTTATTGCAAACTTACATACTTTTGTCCCTCGTGCCCAAACCATTTGCTCTCAGTTGCATTAGCCATCAAATAGCAATCACACAAAAACTGGCACCAAAAAAAAACGAAATAAACAATACAAAGAGGTAGAGAGAGAGAGCACAGTGGTCCACTTCATCTGACATGTACTATGTATGATATGAAATGTATAATGTTTATGGCCAATGAACATCGATAGTATACACAAACACACACAACAGAACATACACACTTTATCTTCTGTTGTATCCTGGAAAAAGTTCCAAGAAGTAAAAAATTTTAGAGAAACGATATCGACATTGGAAACCTCATCTATAACAAATTATATCCTGAATATACACACATTTTATCTTATATGCATCATAACATTGCATACTTTGCTAATGTTTCCAAGATATCTGGATGTGTAGGATTGCATCAGGCAGATACTACCATATCCACATTGGAAACCTCATCTATAACAAACTAGAAAGTAAAACTTAAAGAGATTCCCTAATAACAAGATTCTAAGTAATCCATCTTGTCAAGCAGTGGGTTATATTCCAAATCAGGCATCTCAACAATAAAAAATCAGAATTACTAAAGTATATATTCAATTACTTACCATATACAACAAATAACAGAGGCAAGGTGGCTTGTAACCTATGTCTCATTTTCCTTGTAAACTCTAACCTGTACTTCATGAGCAGATCTCACCTTCCTCCCAATCGCTTTCCCGCCAGCAGATCTCGCCTTCCTCCTGATCTGCATTCAGAAAAGCCTCCTCGTCCTGACCCTGTAACTCGTCATCTTCTTTGAGGTACAAACCCAAATGCTTAAGAGGCAATCCAAGGTAGACCCTTTCACTGCCACAGCCACACAGAATCTCAAGTTGTTTGAGATCCCTTAAAGGGTCCTCAAATTGGACTGACTTCTCCATGTTCAAAACGGCATGGCGAGCCAATTCCCTTTGATCCATCCGATGCATCAATTTTCTCCTTGGTGGAGAATCAGGTAGACCCTTAAGTATCTTGTTTGCTTTTCGTATTGTACCTGAAAATCGCATCTTGAGCGACTGAATTCGCCTAGCCTTATGTTGACGCAGAAAAATGGTTCGGCACTTTCCCGCGTAACTTAGTGATTTATTTTTCCTTCGGTATGCTATGGCCTCGGTAGGGCGTTATACCTGTAAGATAGCAAACACTCGGTAAGTCCTAGGGCACCAATGTGGTATCGGCCGAAGGCTCTCCGATGCTTAAGTAAGTACGGATTTAGTAAGTTTGAACTACAGATCAATAGGAAGTGTGCCGTGAGTTCTGATTGATTACCTCCAAGCTGGGATAGTTGTCCTCTTTTATAGGCCTTGGGAGGTGTGCAATTTGTTTAGAGTTTCGATGTGGGACTGTGGACATCAATTGTGGGACTGCCACGTGTCGAAGGGGGTGAGGTTGCCCTAATGGTGCGACCGGTAGGGATGATACCGAAGATAGGTGCCGAAGGCACCCATAGCTCTGGTTTGGTCCATGTGTCCGATATTCATTGGCTGTTCATTTTGGTATAAACAGGAGTCCCCCAAGTCCTCTTGCGAGAGTTCTCGAAAGGGGATTTGAAGTTGTCTTCGGAAGGGAATGTCGTCCTACTGTTCGGTAAACTGATTTAGTGGAAGGGCTCAACTATGGCTCTTTTGTTCTTGCTCGTTCAGAGGCTGACGTCGGGGAAGTCAGAAGGTCGCGTCGAGTGGATGGGTGAGGGGACAACAGGGCGCTTCGTCTTCCGCGCCTCGCATGCCGTCAGTCTACCATAGGATGGGTGACACGTGGCGAGAGTAATCATGGTGCACAGCGCATTAATGCGTCGTTTGGTTTTCTGAGGTATACCGTTGCGACCCCTCTCCCTATAAATAGAAATGACCCCGGAAGTGAAATCACTTTGCACTTAGTGAGAAGCGAGAGCTCTGTTGAGGCGATTTCCGACGAGAGCTTCCGGTATTCAAGGCGATTTCCGACAAGTGCTAAAGGCAACCAGGCGATTTCCGGCATTACTAACGGTAGGAAGGGCGATTTTTGTCAAGACGATCTGAAGCGCAGTTCGCGTTATTTTTCAGAGTTTGAACTAAGGTACCGTTCGACACCTCCACTTTACTCTCTTACATATCTTAAGTGTTACGTCCTTCCTTGGTTTGAACTAGACTGACTATAGGGTTCCATTCGGTAGTCTAGTCGCCATAGGTAGTGATGTAGGGATCGGTAGGATAGCATCCGGCATGAGCCTTAGTTTCCTTTTTCCCTGTTTTTGTAGATGTCTGATAGCGAGTCATTCTCCGAGCGTGAGCCCAATGCGTTTGATGAGGAGTCATCGGAAGGTCTCTTTGACTCCGATGGTGAAGCGGCAGGGCCTGATGCCGAGGATGGAAGTGATACCGATGTTGAGATACTCGGTGAAGGGCCCAGCTCCGTTCCAATACACGACATCGGAAAGGGGCTAATGACCGCTCCGGTGCCGTTGTCCATTGTTTATAGCAACGGCCGCCATGTGGGTCTAGGCATGCCTGGGGAGGCGAGAGCTAGTGCCAGTCAGAGGCCTCCACTTCCGGCCGTGGAGAGTCCGCTGCCGAACCATCTCTCCGGCCGAGGGTTTCGGTAGTCTATCCCAGCAATCCTAGGGTGCTGATGGGAGTTCCGAAGGAGCTTGTCTTCGGCGTAGATTATTTGGAGCCTAATAGGATCACCGAGAGGGAGATTGCGAGGTTTCGTGCTGAGTACTTTATACCAGATTCGGTAGGCATGAGGATCCCAAATCCTACCGAATCTCTAAGCGGTCCGAAGGATGGCGAAGTCGTCTTTTTCACGGACGTACTTCTGCAAGGGTGAGGCTCCCCTTGCAGCCCGCCGTTCAGAGGATCCTGACGCAGATAGGCTATGCTCCGGCCAATTCAACCCCAACTTCTGGGTAGCGCTAATGGGTGTGGTCACAGCCTTCGGCATGGCTGGCGAGGGAGAGCCTTCGTACGAGCAGTTCTCCCATCTGCACAGCGTCACAAAGTCGAAGTCTGCCGATCACGGGGGTTGGGTTCAGGCTAACTGCCTGAAGGCTACCGAGCGCGGCCATTTTGTCAACGCCGTGCCAACCTCCCAGAAAACGTGGAGGAAACGGCGGGTGCTTTTGTCCCGTGACTGGGAGTCGCCCTCAGGACATCCCGTTCGTTTCCACATTCCCACCACGTTCCAAATTGCCGGTAGGCCATCCTACCGTTCGGTAGGCCTCCTAGAGTGTGTATTCCTTCGGAAATGTTAATTTCGTTTCCCTTTTGTGTAGGTAAATTGAAGCAGCCGAGCGCTACACAAGCGGAGATTCGACAGATCAAGAGGGTGAGGCTGAAGGTCCCCGCCGTGGAGAAGGGTTTATCCGAAGTTTCTCTTCACCACCAATCTTATCAAAGCTCAACTTGTTAGCCCTGCCGAGAGTAAGTGTACTTGCCCATTTCGATATAGTCTATGGCCGTAAATGGGAAATCTGACAGATCTTTGCTCGCAGTGACCGAAGAGAGAAAAACTGCCGAGGCGAAGAGGATGAACGAGTCCTCCAAGCGGCGCCTCATGCTCGGCATGCAGGGGAAGAAAAAGGGACGGCAGGCCGGAACGGCATCGGCGTCTTCGGGAGGGGTTGACCCCGATGACCTAACCCTCAACGAGCGTCGTCGTCAGATGAACGCTGAATCGGCGCATGCCGAAGCGGCCGATGCCGGTCCGTCTCCCAACCGAGGTATGACTGCCGAGGGTACCTCCTCCAAAGCTGCCGGCAAAAGGCCAGTCACGGTCGATCTGAATGCCGATCTCGCTCCGAAGTGCGGGCGACATGCCGAGCCTGCTCGGGCCATCTTTGCTGCTGAGGACGACGAGGCGCCTCCCGAAGCTATCACCCTGGCCTGTCCTTCAAAGACGGTCCAGTTTGTGAACCACATGATCCTCGGTTCACAAATGGAGCTGTCCGAGATCGAGGACCTCCGAAGAAGCTCATTCGGGAGGAGGCTGGCCGCGCCTTCCGTCTTCAAGCTTCGACAAGTGCTTAACGATTCTCGGCCTTTTCCTACCGTCTGTTTCCCTCCTTGTCTAACATTTTCCTTTGCTATTCAGGCCTCAATGGACATGTGGCTGTGCGTCAAGCGAGCTATTAACGCCGCCGAAAAGGCAAAGAAGGCTTATGAAGACGGTAGAGCGAAGGTTGCCGAGGCTGGTAAAGTCATCCAAGCTCAGGCGAACTTGGCGAATGACATGTAGGCTGCCTAATGGCAGGTAAACGTTTATCAAGCCAAGCTCGGTGAGATGTCGGCAGCCTTGGAGGCGGCGCAGCTGACGGCAAAGGAGGCTCTGGAGTCTAAGGAGGCGATCCAGGTGGCCTTTGAGGAGTCGGAGCGAGTCAGGGCTTTCCGAGATCGAGGCTGCCGTCCAGGAGGCGATACGGGGGTACCGTCGGTCTACCGAGTTTTCTACCTTGCTTGACAAGGAAGTGGGCTTGGAAATGGCGGACCTGCTCTACCGTTTCAAGCGATACAACCCCGGGAAAAAGCTCAACCTCAACTTCATTGCCGATCCTCCCCCTCTTCCTGAAGGCATAACCGAAGAAATGGTCGAGGAGTACGAGGGAGAGGATGCCACAGAAGAGGCTCCAGCTGATCCCGATGGGGGAACTGCCGAAGGCAATGGGATTGCTGCCGAAGCCGATGAGGCCGCCGCCTGACAGAAAGCTTCGTACGCTCTGCAATGATAATCTTCTCCAAAATCTTCTTCTCATTTTCAACTAAAGCTGGTTGAGCTCTTGGAGATGATAAAGGATTACGAAGTGGAGGACGTCCCGGGAGAGCCCGTTGCCCCTGATACCGAGGAGGAGACTGCCGTTTGATCTTGTTTAAGTTTTTATTAAATGTAATCTGTAATGAGGCAATATGTCTGAATGCTTTGATGCCGAGGGCATCCTTTAATGTAACTTTGATGCCGTGGGCATCCCTTAATGTAACCTTGATGCTGTGGGCATCTTTGATGTAACCTTGATGCCGTGGGCATCTTTTTAATTGAAGCTGTTTTTATTTTCAAACTTGAGGGGTCCAAGTAGTTTTACAAGTCAATTTGCAATCGGTAAGACGCTTAGGAAAATCTCTTTTTAAATGCCGAGGGCTAGATAAAAAGTTCATCGGCCGTTGGCTAATAAATTATCTTCCAAGCAAAATTTCAACTAGTAGGAAGTTGGAGAACAACAAACGTACTTGCCGAAGGCTAAGTAACAGCTTTAAATGCCGAAGGCTAATCAAAGCTCAAACTTAACCATTGGATCAGTAGGTAATTAAGATGATCCTTTTAAGTTGTCCTTCAGTCGGTAGGCTAATAGTGATGCCAAAATGCGTAGTTTAATGCGACCGATGGTCTCTACCGTATCTTTTAAATGAAAAGAGCTTAAAGGGTACACCAAAGGTTTTGAATATGTGAGCCGAAGGCCCTTTCATTGATAATTGCCGAAGGCAAAGATACATTCGGAGTGCGTTTTATAATTAAAAACATGCCGTAGGCTAGGGGACGCTACAGTGCCGAAGATGGTGAATATAAACAGGCCAAAGGCTTTCAGGGAATCTATTTTAACCCTGCCGTAGGCTAGGTGACTTCATTTAAAATAATATTTCAAATGCTCTACATTCCAAGGATGACCGAGGGCCTTTCCGTTGGAGTCTCTGAGTCGATAAATCCCCATCGCTGGATACCGATGATTTCGTAGGGTCATTCCCAGGAAGGTCCGAGGGTTCCTTCCGTAGGATTCTTAGTTGCCAGAGAGACTTTTCGCATGACCCAGTCTCCGATTCGGAAAGAGCGGGATCTGACCCTGGAGTCATAGTACCGAGAGACGCGCTGCTTGTAAGCTTCGTTCCGAAGGTTGGCTTGTGCTCGACGTTCTTCGAGTAAGTCGAGGCTTAAGGCGAGCGCCTCCTCATTCGCTTTCGGTTTGAAAGCTTCCGTTCGATAGGAAGGCTCTCCGATTTCTACTGGGACTACCGTTTTCGAGCCGAAAGCCATGGAGAACGGTGTTTCCCCGGTTGCTGTTCGGTAGGATGTCCGGATGGCCCATAACGCCTCTGGAAGCTTCTCCGGCCAGGCTCCTTTGGCTTTGTCAAGCTGTCGTTTCAATAGCTTCTTGACAATTTTATTCATTGCTTTGACCTGGCCGTTCGATTGGGGGTGAGCTGGCGAAGCAAAGAATAGGTTGATCTTGAGGCGAATGCATAACTCCCTGAAGACTTCCGAATCAAACTGCCTGCCGTTATCCGTGACGATGGCGTAGGGGATTCCGAATCGGCAGCAAATGTTCGTCCAGACGAAATCTTCAATTCTGGCTGCCGTTATTGTTGCTAAGGCTTTGGCTTCTACCCATTTGGTGAAGTAGTCCACGGCAACCACAGCGTATTTGACCTGACCCTTGCCTTCTGGAATCGGACTAATTAGATCTAACCCCTATTGGGCGAATGGCCACGGGCTTACAATTGGTGAGAGTGGCTCGGCAGGAATGTGAGGGACGCTACCGAACCGTTGGCATTTGTCACACTTCTTTGACCAACATGTTCGCATCTTGGTGCAAAGTCGCCCAGAAATATCCCTGTCGGAAGACTTTGTGTGCGAGCGATTGGGATCCTGAATGGTCACCGCAGACTGCGACGCTCGTGGACCTCCCGAAGGATGTAGTCCCCCTGCTCTTTGGTAGGCATTTTAGATACGGCGTGGTGTAGCCTCGCTTGTACAGAACATCGTTGATGACTGTGTATCTTGCCGATCGGTAACGGAGCTTTCCGAGCTTGGGACTTATCGGTCGGAAGGGTTCCGTTTGTCAGGAAGGCATAGATTGGAGACATCCATGTGTCTTCGTACCGAACGGTACACACCTCAGCAGTTGTTGTGCTTGGTTGGGATAATATCTCCACCGGTACCTTCCTTCCGATCTTGTCATTTATTGCCGAAGCTAAACGTGAGAGCGCATCGGCGTGGCTGTTTTCTGACCTGGGGATCTGCCGTATCTCGTAGGCCTGAAATTTTTGCAGTAGTTGGTGAGCTGCCGATAGGTAGCTGACATAGAGGCATCCTTTGCTGCGAAGTCTGCCGTTATCTGATTCACTATGAGCTGGGAGTCACTGTGAATGCTGATCTGCCTCGCGCTCATGCTCTTGGCTAGCCGAAGGCCAGCCAAGAGGGCCTCATACTCTGCCTCGTTATTGGAGGTCCGGAAGTTGAATCGGAGGGCATACTCGACTTTGCTACCGTCCGGAGTGGTTAACACTAAGCCGGCACCACAACCTTGCTGGTTTGCCGAGCCATCCACGTGCAGAATCCAGAGAGGAACGGAAGTGTCAAAGCGTTCGGTATCCATTTTCTCCGGTGCAGTAAGGATAGCGTTCGGATGATGATGTTTCCGATAGTGCAGGAGGTGTGAGCTCGGAGATGAAGTCGGCGACGGCTTGACCTTTTTCTGCAGGCCTTGGCTTGAACTGTATGTCAAATTCTCCCAACTCGATTGCCCATTTGACCAATCGGCCCGACGTTTCTGGCTTTTGGAGTACCTGCCGAAGGGGCTGGTTTGTCAGAACAGTGATCTCGTGCGCCTGGAAGTATGGGCGAAGCCTTCGCGCCGAGACGACCAGGGCCAGTGCTAGCTGCTCTAAGGGTGGGTACCGAAGCTCTGCGCTCTGGAGTGCCTTGCTGACATAGAAAATCGGTAGCTCTGCCTTCTCTGGCTTCCGTATCAACACTGAGCTGACGGCAGTGTTGGATACCGAGAGGTATAGGAGGAGGACTTCTCCTGGGAGCGGTTTTTGATAATAACGGTGCCTGGCTCATGTAGTTCTTCAAGTTTTGAAATGCCTGGTCGCATTCGGGAGTCCATGCGATATGATGTTTGCCCCCTTTCAAGGCTTTGAAGAACGGCACGCACTTTGTCGGTAGCCTTGGAGATGAAGCGTGTCAGGGCAGCGACACGTCCGGTAAGGCTTTGAATGTCCTTCTGTGTCTTCGGCGTTCCATGTCGATTATGGCTTTGATTTTCTCGGGATTAGCCTCGATTCCCCTTTGGCTGATCATGAATCCGAGAAATTTACCGGAAGATACACCGAAGGCGCACTTCGTTGGGTTCAGCCTCATTCGGTAGTCCTTTAGTATACCGAACATGAGGGCTAGGTTTTCCAGATGCCCCCCTGCCGTTCGGCTTTTCACCAACATGTCGTCGACATATACTTCCATAATGCCGCCGATGTGCTTAGCAAAAATCCGGTTGACGAGCCGTTGATAAGTTGCCCCGCGTTCTTCAGGCCAAAGGCATGACGTTGTAACAGTACAAACCGCGATCGGTGATGAATGCCGTATGCTCTCTATCGGCAGGGTCCATAAAGATCTGGTTGTATCCTGAATAGGCATCCATGAAGCTGAGCAGCTCGTGTCCAGCGGTGGCGTCGACGAGCTGGTCGATTCTCGGCAAGGGGAAACTGTCCTTCGGACAAGCCTTATTCAGGTCGGTATAGTCCTGACACATCCGCCATCCTCCTCTGGCCTTCCGAACCATGACTGAGTTGGCAAGCCAACAGGGTACGTAGCTTCCCTGATAAAGCCGATGGCTTTGAGCTTGTCAACTTCGGCACGCATTGCCTCGTACCGTTCGGCATCGTACGATCGGCGCTTTTGCCTGACCGGTTTGTGGGCGTGGAGATGCTGAGCTTGTGGCTGATGACGTCAGGTGATATGCCGGGCATATCGTCATAAGACCAGGCGAAGACCTCCGCCTGCTGCCGTAAGAAGTCGATGAACTGTCTTCGGAGGTCGGGATCTAGGTTGGTGCCGATTTTACCCACCGATCGGGAAATCCTCGTTTAGGACCACGGTTTCGAGCTCTTCGCAGGCTGCGCCACCGGCGTTGGCGTTTCCTTCCCTGGGGTCATCTATGGGCTCGCTACCGTTCGGTAGTCCCTGCACGGTCATGGCTTCCATTGGGCGGTTTGCAAGCTACCGACTTAAGGGCTGTGGCATAGCACGTCCGTGCGCTGAGCTGGTCACCCCGGATGACGCCCCGTACCGTTGCGTGTAGGGAACTTCATCAGCAACATGTGGGGATAAGTGGGCTTTGACCCTGGTGAGTGCCGTTCGCCCTACGATGACGTTGTATGCCGTTGGGCAATCGACAATGAGGAATTGGTCGTAGGTCATTGTTTTCCTGGGGGCGACGCCGAAGGCGATGGGCAGACTGATACTGCCGACTGGCTGGACCAGATCCCCAGAAAAACTGAGGAGAGGGCGTGATTTGCCGATTGACCATGCTGTCGGCAATTCCCAGTCCCTTTGAACGCATCGGCAAAAATTACGTTCACCGAACTCCCGGTGTCAATCAGCACCCGACCTACATCGTAGTCGGCGATCTCGGCCCGAATGATCATTGGGTCATCGTGGGGGTAAACGATCCCCTCCTCTTCTTCTTCACAGAATGTGATGGGCTCCCACCCCACCTTCGGGACCTTGTGGCACCGATCGTCTTCTATGCCGAAGACCTGAGGGTAGTGAGCGGCACGCACATACTGTTTCATTGAACGGTTAGAGGGTCCCGCCAGAGTGGGGCCTCCGCTGATCGTGCTGATCATGTTGATCTGCCGATTCGCGTTCGATGCCGGTGCCTGTGGTGGCCTGGCGATGTACTGATCCAACTTTCCTTCCCGAATCAGGCGCTCAACGATCTTCCTCAGACTAATGCAGTCTTCGGTGTTGTGGCTGTTCTGCTGGTGGTATCGGCAGAATTTGCCAGTGTCCTGATTGTCCTGCTGATTGGGCTTTCGGTTGGTTGGCTTCGGAATTTGGTCATGCTCGTTCATCAGAACGGTCTCGTATGTAGTGTTCAGCAGGGTGAAGACTTCCTGGGCACGATCGTGATTCGGTAGCGGCGCACGGTGGTCGTTACGACCGTATTTCCCGCGCCCTTTCTTCGAGTTTCCCTGACGACTATCACGGTCGTTCTTTCGTTTGTGCCCTGCCGAAGAATCGTCAGTTCGCCCCGGATAACTCTTGGTTGCTGACTCCTTCTTCCGAGCCGAAGGCCCGGGTTTGGAGTTGAAATATTCGTCCTTCGCATGAACTGCCGCCTACTTCATCAAGTTGTCATATGTGCGCCAGTTACTACTGTTCACGAGATACCGGAAATGAGAGGACCAAAGGCCACTCTTGAAGGCGCCGAAGGCTGCCCTATCGTCCGTTTTAGGACACCTTGAGTATTCGTGACTGAAGCGCGCTGCATACTCCCGTAGGGGTTCGTCTCTCTCTCTGCCGAATCGTGTACAGATCATCGGCAGAGTATAAGCGGTCTATCTGGATCATGAAGTGATTGAAAATCTACTTCAGTTCATCAAAAGGAGTCTACCGTCCCTGGCTCAAGACGGTAGAACCAGTTCAGAGCGGCTTCGGTAAGGGATGATGGGAACAGCAGGCATTGCCCCTCGTTGCTAAGGCCCTTGCATCCAACTACCGATTGGAAGGAGTGAAGGTGGGTCAAAGGGTCCTCCACGCCGGTATAAAATGGTATGCGTAACGGCTGCACCTCCCTGTCCTGTCTGGACTTTTTGATGCGTTCGGTGAATGGTCCTGGCCGAAGTTTTCCCCAGTCAGGAACCTGGGACCGTGTTCGGTCATCTTCCATCTTCTGGATTCTCTGGAAAAGCAGACGGATAGCGGGGTCTCGGCTTGGGACCTCCTCGGAACGGAAGTCTTCGGAAGTTCTCCTCGGACTTGGTGGTCTTGCCTTCGAATACTCCAGTGGGAGTTTCCGAACGGTAGTTTGATTTGTTGCCCTTGGTGGGGATGTACTCATCATCAGATTCCAACCTCGAATCCAAACCCTGGACCTTCCTAAGGGGCGATTTATCTCCTAGGACCTTCATCCGTGAGTCCCGCAGGCGGGCACTAACCCTGATTGGGGACCTATGCCGTTCGGCATCCTTCTTGTCGTTGATCCGATGACGACAATCGGTGTACACCTTCTTCGGCACGTGAGGTTGGTCTTGTGGAGCTGGGACCACCAACTGTTTGGAAGGCGTAGGCGTTGCCTTTGCCCCCCTCTTTCCCTCTTCTGCCGACCGGGGGTTTGCAGACTCTGGGAAGACTCAGTAGCCTGAATGCTCTGTGTTTCCTGCTGGTTAAGCAACCGCTGGGTTTCGTCTACTTTGGACGAGAGGAGATTGTTATGTTCTTGGAGCTTAGCCATTTCCCTCAGAAGGGAAGTCATTTGAGCCAGAAGCTCTGCTTCGACCGTGGTCTGAAGCACTGGAGGATTACCGAAGGGGGTGCTAGGGTGCAGCGCTGGGCTTGCTCTACTTGGCATACCGTATGGTAATCCATCCTCCAATAGGAACTGTGGTCCTGAAGTGGTTCCCATATGTTTTTTAGGAATTGTAGGTTGATTGCTATCGATTCCCATAAACGACGCCAAACTATTGACGCAGAAAAATGGTTCGGCACTTTCCCGCGTAACTTAGTGATTTATTTTTCCTTCGGTATGCTATGGCCTCGGTAAGGCGTTATACATGTAAGATAGCAAACACTCGGTAAGTCCTAGGGCATCGGTGTGGTACCGGCCAAAGGCTCTCCGATACTTAAGTAAGTACGGATTTAGTAAGTTTGAACTACAGATCAATAGGCAGTGTGCCGTGAGTTCTGATTGATTACCTCCAAGCTGGGATAGTTGTCCTCTTTTATAGGCCTTGGGAGGTGTGCAATTTGTTTAGAGTTTCGATGTAGGACTGTGGACATCAATTGTGGGACTGTCACGTGTCGAAGGGGGTGAGGTTGCCCTAATGGTGCGACCGGTAGGGATGATACCGAAGATAGGTGCCGAAGGCACCTATAGCTTTGGTTTGGTCCATGTGTCCGATATTCATTGGCTGTTCATTTTGGTATAAACACCTTCCATGGAGAAAGATTGTCTGTGGCTTGATACATGGCATGATGAACAAGGGTGCCCAAGTCATCATCTTTGGTTGACTTAACTAAGTGAGAATCAGAAACCCCAACAACCTCTTGACTTTGTATAAGAACCCTACAAGTAGAAGAGCTCTTGCCATTTGGTCTCCGTTTGGGCAAAGGAGGAGTAGGAGGAGGACAAGCAGTCTTTGACATTTTCTCCTCGGCTTCTTTCCACTGGGTCTCAAAAATCCCACTTAGATGCTTGGCTACTGCACGATTTCTACTCCCAAGGGGGAAATATCCGAAGGCGTTTGAGAAGATAAGCTTGACATCAGCAGCAAAGCCATCAGCGCTGGAGTAGACACCCTTCTCCAATTTCGATTTCACAGTACCCAAATCCATCAGTCTCCAGATTTCGTCGAAATAACCCGGTAAATTCTCAGCCACAGGATCAACAACAGGCTTGTTGAAGTAGCTCGCATGGCCGAGGTTCATCAGAGAATCCAAGACTTTGGAACAATCCAACGTCTCTTTTGAAGCAGACGAAACCAAACCTTTGAGTTTGCGCAGAGGAAGACCAACAGTCGACTTTTCCTTCCGTTGGGTCTCAGAAACCCTAGAAGACCTCTTCCTCTTCTGGGTTTGACAGATTTCATCAAAACCCTCTTCTGATTCCGGGTTGGCATTTTTTGTAGCAGACGAAGCCAAACCCATGCACAGAGGAAGACCAACAGTCGACTTTTTTTCAACAGCTACATTCCGTTGGGTCTCAAAAACCCTAAAGGACCTCTTCCTCTTCTGGGTCTGACAGATTTCATCAAAACCCAGATCTTTTGATTCAGGGTCGGCATTTTTTGTAGCAAACGAAGCCAGACCCTTGCGCAGAGGAAGACCAACGGTCGACTTTTCCTCAACGGCTACATTCTCAGAAACCCTAGAAGACCTTATCCTCTTCTGGGTCTGAAACTGAAACTCAAATGAACCAAAACCATCCTCCAATTGTCTGCACTTTATAGCAGACCACGCCATTCTTGATTTCAGAACCCAAAATTTCACACAGTCGTTACAGAGAGAGAACCCAGAAAATCATTCGCTCAATCGTTGCAGAGAAAATCACTCGCTCAATCGTTGAACTCAATAGTCTCACTCGATCGCTTTCACTTACTTGTTGCAGAGAAACAGACAGACAGACAGACGAAAAGAAGAGGGAATGTATTGTTGTGGCGCTATTTTGGTTTTCAAAATGTAAAATGAAATGTCGGTGTGATAACTCGGTGACTCAGTTGCTGAGTTGTTGCGCGTAAAAAAGTGAAAAGTAAAAAAAAACGCGGAAACACCAAGACAAACAACCATGTTCTGCTGTTTTAATTAAATGCATATCATTAAACCCATTTAAACCAACTGCACACAAAATTTGAGGGAAGATAGTTTGATTTAACTTATCTATGATTGAGATAAATTTCAGATGTATATAAATGAATAAATATATTTTACAGATCATGCAAAATTTTAAGAAAATATTTTTCCTTTCCTTTCCTATTGCCAAATTGGACTTAATTTGACTCAACTCACTCTATATATAGTATAATCATAAGACACAAAATGAAAGAGTTTGATTTACAGTGTCTATAATAGAAAAATATTTTCACACACATAAAGGTAGGGTTAATTTTATTTTTGGGTTATGAATAATGCTATTCTTACCACATTTGTATACCACATCCCTATACCATCTTATGTGACAGCTGAGGTAGACAGCCACATCAATTAAAATTATTTAATATTTTCTTTTCTTTTATGATTTATTCCAGTATTTGTTTTTCTAATTGTTTTAATTAAAATACATTTCATTGATTTAATTGATGTGGCATATAATATGGACATGCAACATCATGTGGTATAGAAATGTGAGATAAAAATGTGGTAAGTGTAACATTACTCTTGTGTGTCTAATATTGGTCACCCAATATTAGCTGCCAGAGAAGATGGTCACCTAATATGGTTAAAATCACTCACTCAATAGTTGAACTCAATACTCACTCGATCGCTATCGCTTACTTGTTGCAGAGAAACAGAGAGACAGAGACAGAGACAGAGAGATGAAAAGAAGAGGGTATGTATTGTTGTGGCGCTATTTTGGTTTCCAAAATATAAAAATGAAAGGTCGTTGTGATAACTCGGTGAGTCAGTTACTGAGTTGTTGCGCGTAAAAAAGTAAAAAGTACAAAAAAAAAAGGCGGAAACAACCGCACACAAAATTTAAAAGAAGATAGTTTGATTTAACTTGTATTTAAATAAATTTCAAATGTATATAATGAATAAATTTCAGATGCAAAATTTTAAGAACATATTTTTCCTTTCCTTTTTTATTTCCAAATTGGACTTAATTTGACTCAACTCACTCTGTATTAGAGCATGTCCACCCCAAGAGGTTAAGGTTAAGGCAAAGGCAAGGCAAGGGCTGCTACTATTCATGTGAATAGTGACAACCTTGCCTTTTTTGGTTCCACCCCAAAAGGCTAGGGCAAGGGCAAGAAAAAAAAAGAGAATATGCAACAAAATATAAACTTGTTATGTATTTTATAGGGAAAGTGAATAAAATTGTTATGTATTTATAGGGAAAAATCCATAATATTTTGTTTGTTTTTTTTTAAAAATTTTGATTTTTTTTGAATTTTTTTTTACTCGCTAATGTTAGCGTGAGGTCACCGCTGATGTCAATGCCTTCGGGCTGAAGCATAGGCAAGATCTATCCTTGGGCTTGCCCGGGTTGGTGGGACCCAGGCTGCTTCTTCTACGCTGAAGGTTCAAAACCCATCAAATGGGCCTTTAGCCAGGGCAAGAGGCCCTGCGCTGGAGGTGCTCTTAGGGGTGGGCATCGTGACCGAAAAACTGGAACACCGAACCGAACTAATGAAAAAAATCGGTTGACCAAAAAAGTCAACAAATTGGACCGAACCGATTTCGGTTCTGGTTTTACACCGCAATGCACCGAACTGGTCATATATATATTATTTTTTTATTTTTTTATTTTTTTACAAATTTTTAAAATCTAATGCCATATTTTAAATTTTATAATCACTATTTTTCCAAGTTCAACTTCAAAAAATTTCTAAATGTATGAATTGGATTATTTGTTAATTTTTAAGCCAAAAAAATAAGTTATTTATTTTAATTTTTTTAAAAAAAATTTAAAAAAAAATTTGAAAAAAAATTAAATTAATAATCCGGTTCAAAACCAAAATCCGTCAGAACCAAACCGGCCAGTTCTTGAATTTTTTTTTGCCTAAATTGGACCAAACCGGACCGGTTAAATAGTATCGGTTTTGATTTCGGTTTGAGGTGAGAACCGGACCGAACTGAACAGCGCCCACCCCTACTCTATATATTTGATTAGTTTATTAGTCAAAAGGTAAAATCAGAAGACACAAAATGAAAGAGATTGATATATAGTATCTAGAATAGAAAATATTTTCACACGCATAAAGGTAGGGTTAATTTTATTTTTTATTTTTTATTTTTGAGAATTATTGAAAGATAAATAAATAAAAATAGAATCAACATGACAATATTCATTAATTGACATGGCATGACCACATCAATTGTAATACAAGGTCGGGTCGTCAGCTAATGTGGTCAATCTTGTATGTCTAAATAGTGTTTCTACTTTTTTTAATAATTCTAACCTTTCAAGTCTTGTTATCAGTGAACCCATATTATAACACATGTATATTTTGATTCATATTATAAGAAGTTTACTTGGGATGAACATAATTTTTATATTATTTTTGCCAATGTAACATGCATATAAGGAAAATATTGAGCTTGATATACTAGACTGGTGGCGAAGTGAGACGTGAAAATGGGTTTAGGGGGAAGGTCAGTTAAAGTCACTTTCAAGGGGCAAAGTGAAATTTGGGACATCTTTCAATGGGCACTAGAATAATTAAACCTTATATAATCCATCAAAGTGTTTACTACAAGATATTATATGTTAGAGCATCTCTAACCGATGTGTCAAAAGTGCCACATAGACATTTAACGGTTAGAAATAACATCTCATATCACTCCAACCGATGTGTCAAAACTGATGTGGAATGAATGCTGGAGGTTGAGATGTTATTTTTGACATCCCAAAAAAAAGATGTCAAATGAATATTTTATTATTATTTTTTCTTTTCTTTTTAATTAAAAATAAATCAACACTAAAATGGAATAAAATAATAATTTAATTTGACATATCGGTTGGAGTGTAAAACTGTGTAAAATGTCAAATTGCCAAATCTGCCATTCAATTTAAATTTGATGTTTAGTGTTTGACATCTCCCTTGGAGATGCTCTTAGTATAAATTAGGCCAAATAGGGGTCTAGTCCCATTGCACCTTGGTAGTGTGTGTGTGAGAAACTCCTTTTTCTTTATAGTTTAGTCTATCGCTTGTATTAAAAAAAATGTATGAATTAGGAATGTGGCAAAAATCACCAAAACATTTCAAACCATCCAAAGTTAAACCTATACCTACCATCTAGTTTGATTTTTACACTAGTATATCTTTTCAATTTGAAATGAACAAAACTGCAATTAGTTGGTTTATGACATTTGACTTATATGTTCCAACCCATACATTGATATTAAACATTTACTAGCAAAAGCTAAAATCTCCAGGTCATTTAAATTTGGTATCATCTCTCCAAAAATTTCACAATTTACAACGGTCGAAAGTTTTCTCAACTATAAAGACAAAATAACTAAACCACACCAGTCACTAAATGAATTGATTTTATTCAATTATATACCTAGGTTAATGTCAGAAGTGAACCAAATCGAATAACGTCCACCCTTTGTATAAAACTGTAAATTTTTTTTTCTTTAATAACATGAGATTTGTTTCCTACAGGATGTTTTGTTTTCTGATGTTATGTAATTTTCCTTGTTCTGTACGTTATTGGCATATGTGGTATTCTTTCCTACCCCAGAGTTTTTCCCTTGTGGTTTTCTCCGGGAAGGTTTTAACGAGGCCACACTTTACATGCCTATTATTCCTCCCTTCTAATGAAAGAATGAAATCAACTTTCTCAATAAAAAAAAAAACAAAAAAAAAAAAAAAAAAAAAAAAAAACAATCATGCCTGTTTTAATTAAATGCATATCATTAAACTCATTTAAAACTGCACACAAAATTTAAAAGAAGATAGTTTGATTTAAGTTATCTATAATTGAAATAAAGTTCAAATGCATATAAATGAATAAATATATTTTACCCATCATACAAATTTTAAGAAAATATTATTCCTTTCCTTTCCTATTGCCAAATTGGACTTAATTTGACTCAACTCACTATATATAATATATACATTATATATATGCATATATATATATATATATATGGGGTATATAATACAGCGTTTTAGTTAAAATGCTCTTTGAAATTTTGGTCAAATCACACTTTGCTCCCTAAAACTGAAAGTGACCCATATTGACCCTTTAACCATGACTTCGTGTTTCACTTTTGCCCCATGCCGTCAACTCTGTTCCAAACTTCGTCAAAAAATGATGACGTGGCAGGGATAATATAGTATTTGTCACGCCCCGAACCAGGAGGTTGGTGGAAACCCAGCGCCCAGTGCGTGAGAAAATAAAAAGTAAAATAAAATAAAACTAAAGCCAAAATATGAGTTTAAAATAAACTTCTCTTATAAAAATAAATCCAATATCTTACAACTTTACAATAAATAAATAAAGGTCTATCATTCTCATCTAATTCAGCCTCAACCGATTTAGTCATTGTCTTGCCCACTAATTCATCTGAAAAATTAAACAGGGTGATGGATGAGCAATCACCACTCAGTGAGTAGATTATGTAATATTCCAGTCAAGCAATGCCATTTTACACACTTTAGAAAATATCATGAAAAGATACACCAATCTAGATCATATCACATTATCTCTTCATATCTCGGTTATCCTTCATAGCATGTAACCAACCACGTGACCCTTATTGGCCTTATTGCCCTATGTGTGGTAAATCTATCCCTCGGATACCCCAACATTGAAGTTCTCATGTTCCATGAATAATACATACTTCACAAATATTCCAATCAATATATATATATGTGTGTGTGTGTGTGTGTGAAAGATTGCTCCCAATTAGACATGCTTGACTTGAAATAGAGAGATATTTGTAAATAGAAGAAATCCACGATAATTAATGGTTTTCATATTTTTTTACAAAATAAGAACTTTTAGAACACATTACATAAACCGCTCACCTCGATAATGAGAGCCCTTAAAATAAATTGGTAAGACAACCTATCTACTTATCTTCATGTACTATCACCCAAACTAAGCTCCAAGAGTTTCATCATCACTCTCTCTCATTCTTTCTAATTTCTTATGTTTTGAAACTATAAGGTTATGCTCCTATTTATAGTGTTTATAGGGATAGGATAATCTTCAATATTAAAAGGATAAGAACATCTAAGTTTATCCAAAAGATAAACATCATAATAAGATAAGATTATCCAAGTTTATCCAAAAGATAATATCATCCAAGTTTATCCAAATGATAAATATCTTATTTTATTCTTTTAAAATACGGGTCTTCACAGTCTTTTTGTCCTAAATTGCTTTTTTTCCCTAATGTGAGATGAGCACGTCTTTTTGTACTAAATTGCTTTTTTTTCCCTAATGTGAGATGAGCACGTGGCAATATGTGGAGCCTACCTCTATATATCCAATTGTATTTTTTTAGAAATGAATTAAACAAAAAATATAACAATGGACAAACAAAAAACCTGTGTAAACTTTTCGTTTTTCGGGTATCTTTTTAAGGATTGTGAGTTGGGCAAAACAGAAATCGCTTCACCATTTGATTTTCATCACCTACATTTCAATGTTTAACTTAACTGCAGTATTTGTTTATTTATTTGAAGTTTAATAATTAAGTGGTTTTCAAGTTGACTGATTTTTCAAATTGCCTTCCCTATTTATTTTGAAGCAAAGTAGCCGTAAAAAGATCGAGACAAAACACAACACTCCTAGAACGAAAAAAGAAAACCAAGTTAGAGAAATAAGATTGATCTGCAAAAGACTACCGAAAGGGTAAAATTATAAACAACGTGACGATTTTCTCATATGGTTACAAATGCACAAACTCTTCCAGAGGAAAAGTGAGTTCAATTGCAGCCATAACTAACAAAAATAGATGGCAAGATTATTGTCTCCTAGCACTATACCATGGAAAGAGCCTTCTACTCTGGAGTCATATTTAAAAAATCTAACGCCCCATCACAACCTCGTCAAAGTTCCAGTCTTGCACGATGTCCCTTCTCACAGCCCGGCTTCGAACTAGCCGTGGAGCACCTGACATGGAACCGCTGTTTGGAAGAGTTGGTTGTGGGGTTACTTTGGATGATGCAATGTTGGAATGTGTTGGTAGTGGAAAAGATGGCCTCCTCGCTAAGCAGTTGGCAATGGCAGAACATCTTCCCTCATTTTCTGCACTTGAAACAGAGTAACTCCTAAAAGAGTGCGATGGACTTTCTACACTATGGCACACCAGGCATGCCAGACTCATATTTGGACTTCAAAAAGCTGTCACCTACTGCAGAGTTCCTTGCTGCAATTAATGCCAAGAAACATAAAGTTAGAATTTTACGTTCAGATATGACAGTAAAAAATAATACAGCACCGTAAGAGAAAAATACAGATGTACTGCAACGAACACCGGAGTAAACTAAATTATGGGATAATTAATTGGCAACCTAAATTAACATAAGTGAAAAAGAGAAAATCTATTAGGAAAAGATGGCAGGGCAAACTCTTTTTTTCTTTTCACTTTTTTCTGGTTTTTCTTCTTTCTTTGTGTGCCATATAAATTACATGTGACTGGAGTGAAGGATCAAGCAAACTCTTAGGAGCTGGAAACTGAGCATTTTTCAACTGTTTCTACTAGTAATCATAGACAACTAGTAATTTCCTTATCCAAGGAACGCAATGGACCAGGTAACTGAAACATTAAAACTGGGGACTGCACACTATGCCATGTTGTATAAACTATATCAGAGCATTATTCTCGTGTTCTATTCTCTTTTGAACAGTGAGTATTATTCTCGTGTTCTTTTCTCTTTTAAACAGAGTATTATTCTCATGTTCAAGAGATTATAATAAAAACATCATCATAATCTAACAAATGTTAGAACAGAGTGAGAAAACTGCACATTGATTCTGCATAATGCTTTTATATGTGTGAGCATGCACAAACAAAAGTAAGTTAAGAACTTTAGGTTTTTTTTTGGTCGAAACTACTCTGAAGGTTCAGTCGGTCAAATACATCTGTATATTCACTCCATAGCTACAAACATGTAATCCGTAATGTTGTCAGACCTCATCTAATGGTTAACCCAGAATCGATCAAGTTCACAATAGAATGTTTAACACTAGATTCAACTTCAGTCATGCAGAGACACATATATATTTTCTTTAATTTCTCAACCTTTCTCTATGGCAAAGGTTGTGTATAAAAAAGCTGGGAGCCTTGAAACAAGATCCGAAGCCAATGACGACCATTTAACTAGAGAGGATGCTGTGCCCAACATGCGCTAGTACAAAATGCCAATAGGTTTAAACACAGGTGTCACTGTCATGTGTAACAGAAGAGTACCCAAAGAAGAAAAACAAAAATTTATAAGTGAAAGAAATAAATAAAATTAAATACAAGAAGTGCCAGTACAAGACTACCACCCTTGCCCCCCTGAGCTGTCTGTCATAAGAAAGACAGAAACGTTCACTGGTTCAGAACAAGGTGTTCAAGGCATTTCTCTTGTTTGTGAAATTCCCCAAAGGTGTATTCCTCTAGGAACGAGGTGCATAAGACGTGGTTTTTTTTGCTAAACAACATGAAAAACTGCTCTATCAGCATCTTATAGAAACAAAAGACCTATGAAAATCCCCATATCATCTCTGCCATTTGGGAGTTCCAAATCCAAAACCCAGCCATATTATCTCTGTCCATCACTAGTAGCTCTAAGCCTGTATCCCCTGTAAAAACACCTCAAGTACCATAAGCAGTTCCAGCTCTAACCCCTGCATTTGTTTTCCTTTTTATCTCTGCAATTCTATACTAACTGTAATCAACAATACAGCAGGGTTGTCATGAAGAAAATGCAATGGGTGCCTTTTATATTCTCAACTATAAAATTCAAGTTTCACATTGCAAGTACTCAAACGCCTCACATTTTGCTTTATTCTTTGAAAACATTGGTTTAGAAGATAAGATTCCAAAGCTTGTCACACAGACTCAAATATTATCTTCCATAAGCAATTCTCGCACCAAACCAAATATTATCTTCCATAATGAAATTAATTCCATCTCTCGAATAGTAAAAGAAAAGACCAAATGACAACTCAGTGAACCAACATTAGAATGCACTCCACACATTCAACGGAATTAGATGTTTCCCATCCTATCACGGTTTAAGCATAATCACAACTGTAATTCATTGTTTAGACAGCATGAAATCAATGAATTTGATGTGTAACTCTTGTGTTCCATTGGACCTGGCTAGCACAAAACTTCATCTTAATTGAAAGACCAGGACATAGTAAAAGTATAAAATGCTAGCTGACTAAATGAAACTAATAAGAGACAATAATATGAACTGGCCGTCACAATAAACCAGTACTACTAAGTGAATAGCCTATCCTGTTGAATTGAACGAAATCTTAGGTTGATGATAACTTAATAGAATTACATTATTCCTGCTTTAGACAAGCTATCTTGAAATATGGTAACAAAACAGAGATTGCAGAACTAGTGCTTATCATTTGTAGTAGTGCTGACTGCTGAGCAAGAGATTATAAGTTGTGTTTAGAAGGTTGGAGAGCAAGACATACACACCCAAACACTTGGACATTGACAGTATTCCGATCAAATTCCAACACATAACCTCATAGGTGGAAGTTTTACATGTCACAGGAAGGAACTCGATTTATGGTGTGGACAACTGTGAGATTGGTGATGCATGACAACACAAGGTGGGTGTTTCCTATGATTACTGCAAGTTCGGATGATAAAAATTTGAATTCATAAAGTAGTTTAAGTAGTTCCTAAATTATCTATTCCTTTTTGGTGAAGAGCAACACACATAGACAATACACACAACACACACCCTATTCACCTACGAACATGATGTGGACCTGTTCTGAATAGAAAGAACACTTCATTTACTTAATAAGCTTACTCTTAAGGGATGCATCTAACTTCACATAGCCGGTTCTACTTTATACCCCAGAAAATTGAATGCAAGTTTACTTCTAAACAAATAAAGAAAGAAAAAGAACAACTTACAACACTTAATCATGTTCCTAGTTAAACAATGTGCATGAAAACCCAACCCCAGAATCATCCTAGCAGCAAAAAAAATTCTTTATCCCCAGATCTTTAAAAGAAAAGGAACCCATTAAAGAAAAAGCAAAGAAAACCGGTATTTGATCCTCCCACGGGCAATTGAATAAAAATGAATTTCTAAGAAAGTTGGGAGCTAAGGCACTTACATTAAAGAACACCCAGAAACCAGTAAACCAAAACTTAAACAGACAAATACAGAAAAAAGATGCATGCAAATGAGAAACGCTCATTTAAGATCCAATCAAGGAATAAATGAACAGAAACAAAGGATCTATTACTGGAATTAACAAAAGAAAGTGAAGACAGAGGAGCTGAGATCTGAGAGACATACCTCTGTGTTCTATGCTCGGGTGTCTGCGTGGGCGGTATTGCAATGTCAAGGTGGTGTTGATTCAGGGGAGGCTGAAAAGAAGGATCTGCTGCCTGCAAGAGAGAGAGAGAGAGAGAGAGTGAGAGAGTAGACTTTGTTGTATTTATACGTGGTAATTGGTAAAGGAGAAAGAGAGGATCAGATTCTACAATTCATTGATGTTACTCTACGCTTATGGAGAATGAATTTGTACTTCCATGGAGAATGTATGATGAATGTTGAGTTATATTAAATGTTTCAAGATTTCCCCTTATATTAGCTTTTTTTTCTTTCTTCTTATTAATGTGAAAAAGCCCTTATTAATTCCAGTGTTAATTGGCATTGAATTTTAGAGGGGCAAAACACGGGTTTTATATATGTTGAATTTGCAACTTCGCTGGGTAACATTCGTGTAAAGCAAACCTCTATTTCATATTGTTTTTTCCTTATCAGTAAATTGATTTAGACACGAAAAAGAAAATTTGATGAATTAACAAATGGCAACCCAAGAAAAAAGTTATAAGCAGAGGAATTCATGCATTGAGCTTGAGTTTCATTATAATAGTGCACAATCAATATATACAACTTATTTAGCATAATAGTAAGAAGCATTTAAAACTCATTTAACATAATAATGTTCCCCATTATGGAATAAATAATCCACCGTCATAAAATATTTAACAAATTCGTTATGAAAAATGCCACAATAGAGTAGAATTAGCAATTGGTTCAGAATGTAATAATTGTAGAACGCTCTTGCTCCTTAAGAAATAGGATAAAATTTTAAAACAGTTTGGCAACTTGAATCGGCCCCAAAACTATCAATTCATTGGAAGACGAATATCACTACTAGTTAGAGATTTTTGTATTGCTTAAGGATGATACCAAGTTAAAGCTCAGCTATTTATTTCTGTACAAATTTCGTAAACCCCAAACAATATACAGGTTTCTCCCCCAAGAACATAATGTGGACCTCTTCTGAATGGAAAGAAGGCTTCATTTACTTAATATGCTTACTCTTAAGGGATGCATCTAACTTCACATTGCCAGTTCTACATGCACATTAAGACAATTGAATGCAAATTTACTTCTAAACAAATAAAGAAAGAAAAAGAAAAAATTATAACACTTAATCATATTCCTAGTTAAACAGTGTGGAAGAAAACCCAACCCCACAATCCTCCTAGCGGCTAACAATTCTTTATCCCCAGATCTTCTAAAAAGAAGAACCCATTACAGAAAAAAAGCAAAGAAAACCGTTATTTGATCCTCCCACAGGGAATTGAATAAAAATGAATTCTGAGAAAGTTGGGGAGTTAAGGCACTTACATTAAAGAACGCCCAGAAACCAGTGAACCAAAACCTAAACAGACAAATACAGAAAAAGATAAACGCATGCAAATGAGAAAAGCTTCTTTAAGATCCAATCAAGGAATAATTGAACAGAAACAAAGGATCTAATACTGGAATTAAGAAGAGCAAGTGAAGACAGAGGAGCTGAGATCAGAGAGAGATACCTCTGTGTTCTCTGCTCGGGTTTCTGCGTGGGTGGTATTGCAATGTCAAGGTGGTGTTGACGGTGGCGTTGATTCTGGGGAGGCTGAAAAGTAGGATCTGCTGACTGCAAGAGAGAGCGAGAGAGAGTGAGAGAGTAGACTTTGTCGTATTAATTGGTAAAGGAGAGAGAAGATCAGATTCTACAATGCCAGGACGAGCTTTTGTGACTATTGGAGTTGTGGTCCGCCTAAAATCTAGGCAAATAGCTCAAAATGCCATTCATTTTATAATTTTTTGTGAAAATACCACTATTTTCTTAAAA